TCAATCAAAAAACAGATATGAAATGCTGATAAATGCTACAACATGGATGGATCTTTAAAATATTATACTGAGAAAGAATTCAGTTATAAAACACATATTATGAGATTCCACTTATGTACAATGTTCAGAATAGGCAAATAGAAAGCAGATTAGTGATTGCCTAGGGCTGGGGACAGGAGCCTGGATGTCTTGAAGGTGGTAAATAAAGGCTTTCTTTTGACATTAATAAAGGGTTCTAAAGCTGATTATGTTGCTTGGTTGCACAAGACTGTGAGTATACAAAAACCATTGAGTTATAAACTCTGAATTTGTGAATATGTAAAATATATTTCAATAGCATTGTTACCAATAAAAACATTTCTGAAGCAACAGTTACTTTAGAAATACTTTCAGTTACTTTTAATATTAACTATCCAGCCCTTTTAGCAGGTAGCTTCCAGTTATCCCTGCATAAAAATAGGTAAAATTTAGACTGCTTCTGAAGTGAATTTTATATGGTGCAGATGATAAATGCCTAGTGCACTTCCAAAATGTAGATTCATTTAAACTTGGTTTGTCACTTACTAGCCCTGTGAGGTTAATGGTTGAAAAGGTCAAGGGATGTGAAATAAGAGAACAAATTCTTCAGAATTTTTTCTTTTAAAAACAGGTGCACTCTAGCCTAAGAAACAGTTGGTGTAGCCCTTAGATCCATTTTTTGGGTTGTTGACATCTCAGTAGAAAATACTATTTTCAGAACATATTGTCTTGCCAATGAATTATGCATTTGCAACCTATTATTCTTACCCAGCTATGGAAATAATCGTAGGGCACTGTACCAGAATCCTGAAGAACTGCTTCAAGAGCCAATTCTGTTTGCCTCTTGTCTCTCTTTTGCCTGTGAGCCTTTCTACTTAATAAATCTGAAAACTGTATTAGTCACAGTGGTTTGGATTCTGTTTTCCTAAAGCTGTGTTCTAAATGAGTTGGTGTACTTCTGAACTAAAATTTCCCTGCTCTTTGCCATCTTTCACCCTGTGCTTTCCCAGACCTAAAATGTCAAAGTATCAAGCAGATGGAATTACGTTTGGAGTATCGGTTTGGTCAGGAATGACTTCATGCTTTTAGCAGATCTGTAGTTGTATTATTTTTTAAAACAATGGGCTGTTAATAAAGGATTCCTTGAATCCAGCACTCTGTCTCAATTAACTATTGTGTTTAGATAAAATTTTTGATGCTGTAAAATAAAATCAGCATAGGCTATTTGCTGAGGAGCCTGGGCAATTTTAATAGGTGGGCTTTTTTTAATTTAACACATTTTCTTTAGAGGAGAGGTTTTAGACACACTTGCATATATACTTTTGTACATTTGTGTGTGGTTGGGGTGGCAAAAGAGACTAAAATATTCCTTCTAATCCATCTGAGTATAAGGTGGGAATGACTTCCTGTTTGCCAGGGTCTGTTACTATGGAACATCAAGCAAGGACATTTTGCCCATGCCTCTGGAAGGAGTTAGCATTGTTGGTACCATAACCAGAAGTGCACAGATACATACTTGTGATTGGCAGTGCATTCTTTTGGCTTTCATATTTGTTTTTCTCACTCCTTTCAAATGTTGGATTATGGACCTACATGAGCAGGATTATGCCTTCCTGTATTGCTGAACACAGCTCAGGGAAAATGTGCAGGGAAATGTGGAAATGCAACTCACCAAGAATCAGGAGTCCTTCTGGCTTCCATCATTGGCTCTGCCACTCTCTCTGGCCTTGGATGCTATCTCTTTCATTCAACAAATATTTGTAAGCACATACTATTTGCAAGGTACTGTCTAGATGTCTAAACTCATTGAATCTATGTTTCTTCATCTGTAAAATGTAATCTGAGATGTAAGTTCTAGATATGACTTTTTGCCATGATTCAGAGGACAGAAGTTAAGACATGTGGCTGTTGGAATGAATACCTTTCTCCCAAGAAATCAGGATGTTCACATTTTTCAATACAATCTTTTCTCACTAATGTGTCTTCTTTCCCTAAGTGCTGTTAATAAAGTCTCATCAATGTCTTAAACTAAATTGAAAGTCATTTTATGTGAAAATTGTGCATATATAACACTATGGCAAGGTCACCAGTTGAAATACAACACTGGGCAACTTACGATGTGGTGTCATGATTCTGAAATGAGTATAAATTACTTTTATTCTGAATAGCAGAGAGATAAGATTCTATTCTTGAAAGCAGTTAAATTTGATTCTATTTATCTTTTGCTTTTCTTTTCTTTTTCAGGACAAAAAAAGAAAAAAAAATGACCAAATGCACTCAGGGAGCAAAGTGGTTGTAGCCCAGAATCAATGGCAAAATATTCTTTGTTGTCAAGAGCAATGTATTACAGGACATGGACCATTTTATAAAATGCCTTTGGTGCTGGTTATCAATGTTTCAGACTTACTTAGATTCAGCACGTTTCTTAATGTGGGAGATGGAGACTAGGAGGCATTTTGACCTTCCTTTCTCTGCCCTACCCCTCCCAGTATAAGGAGTTCAAGTGGCCAAAAGAATTTGTCCATCTGGGCCCAGCTTCTTCCCTATTAGCCTTTAGGTTCTCAGGATTCCAGAACTTCCTGTCAATAGTGCTCCTATGATACAGACCAAGGATGGCCAGGACGGGATTGAGCCCAGATTAGAGCCTGAGGCTGGGGTGTCCGCATGGTGAACTACCAATGAGAGGAAAAGAGTCAGCTCTGGACTGTGAAAACATTGGGGCTAGCCTGGAAGTAGAAATGAATTGTTATTAATAATTGCATTAATGTACATGATTTTCTGCTCTATTTTGCAAGGAGCAAAGATATATATTTTCACAACAATTTAACTGTAAGCCCCAGGCAAAATGGTAGTTAGTTAAGATTTCTCTGTTTTTTCCTCTGCCCCTCCTTTGTGCATCCTTCAGTCTTGGAGTTTTCTTCACAACACCCTAAGCAATCATACCACGTTCCGTGTTTATTGTTGGTTGCTCCTAACCCCCAACTATAACAGTCTATCTCATCTGGACTGTGGTCTTTCCTTGGACTCTTGTCCTCTCTCTTTGGTCTAAATCAATATGGATTCCATTTTCCAGGAAGTATTTTGTTGTTGTAAGGAGCTTAATTAACTAATTAAATGTAGCTTTGATGATCCATTTACTCACTCAGGCCACAAGAGCCTTAAAATTCTTTGGATCCACCTCGCTCAGGAAGCACTTAATTGGAAAACAACCTCCACAGTTTAACATAACTCAGAAGGTCCTAGGATTTAAGGGGAATTTTCTGGTGAGGCTCAGTCTTAATACTGTCCCTATGTGTCTGCTTGAATCTTTTTCATCCCGATTACAGCTGCCATTGCTCCCTTTATCACTCCTGTGTGGTGAGTATTATCTTTTCCCTCTGGTGAGGAGGCCAACTTTTTAAAATACTTTTTTCTTTCTAGATACTAAAATAGAAAAAAAGGAGATAAACTGATTACATGATACACAAAAGCGTGGTTTACCAAGCACTGTGTTTTGTTATCACAATTAAGAAACCTGGAATTTGCAGTAATCATGTAAGAAGACAATTATTTCAGTAGGAAAAGGTGGGAATGGGGGCTAGAAGAGTTCAGATTCCAAAAAAAAGTTATTTTAAGGAATGACACTAATGATCCTTGGCTGAAATCTCAGATAGGCTGTTAGGGGAGTTTTTGGCTGGCAGGTTGATACCTTTGAAACCATACCATATTATGGCTTTCACCTATGGGAAAAGCTGATCCTGCACAGCATGGTGGGCAGAGGAGAAGCAGAGTGGATATTGCTTTCTGGCTGGGGAGACTCAGGCAGGAGCGTCACCCACAGGAAATTGGGCTAAATGCATTACACAGACGGAGAAAAATACATCCCCAGGGCAGAAGCAACAGTCAAGGGGATAGCTGGGAAAGTAGGGTAGAATATAGCACAGAACACCAAAGTTAGACTGTAAATGTAAAAGTGACAGTAATGAAAAGGTTAGAAACTGGTTGGTATGTTGTGTATAAATCAAAGACAGTTGGTTCTAGACCAAGTTCCTGAACAGTATAATTGGAAGCTGGTTGTTATGTGGTATCTTTGGTGAAGCCCCCATGGATTGAAGAGCAGCATGACTTAAAAGGAAAAGCTGAAAACATTGGTCTTTAATTTATTGTAGCTCATTTCTTCCAATCTACTTCACTGTTTCACAATGGATTGAAGGAAGCCCTAATTTATTATCCCAGTCCCTTGATAAGAAAAGAAAGATACAGAAGGGCTACAGGATTTGGTTATGGTTTCCTTAAATTAATGGAAGAACTAGACTTGGCTTTTTAATTTTTAAAACCAAAACCCATATCATGTAACTATTAAATGTTGACTTTTTTGAGAAAATCGTCTTTAGAATTCTTTTTTCTTGACCTAATCAAAAAGTTTAATTACTTTTTCTGAGTATCTAAAGACCTACATAACAATCACATTAGTGAGAAATACTATTAAACAACATTGATTAGCATGTGGAGGTACAAATTACAAATTAGTTATGTAATCATGTAAATTATAATGGTCAATAAATTATATAGGTCTATAACAGAAAGCATGAAAATATTTTATAGAAATAATATAATTCTTCATTCATGAAAAATTATATAGGTCAAACAGTAGTTTTAAGATATATTTTGGTCTGTTTTAAATTAGTAATTCAATTTCTTACTGTGTATCAGTAATTATTTGGAAATTTTAAGTGACTCGGGTTAATTATAACGATTGCCCATAGTCGCATTGTTCTTGATAGCCTCCATTGTAACAATGCCTTAAAGAAATTATTAGACTGAAGTAAAGGACAATGTTCTTGAAGTACACTTTTTAAAAATTCAATAATTGACTATAGATGACATGTACTCTTTCTGGAATATGTTATCTGCTAGGAAACATTATGCAAGACTGTGGGGTAAATAACTATTTTGCTCTCCAGAGTGTTATCACGAAAGGCTCTCAGAGCATTTTGCAATCAATTTTTATTATCAGCCCTTTACAACAACCTTCAAAGTTCAATAACTGACTCATAAAACACATAGTAAAAGGAAAGGGGAAAATTAAGAAGCATGGTGCATTATACATGGCATCATAAACAGAGGGCTAGTTTGTCATTACTAATGCTTTTAGTTATTGATGACCATGTGCATGGAGCAACATTTTAAAACTTTGATCTTAGTTTTTCAGTTTTCCAACAGCTGCTCCAGATGTGCTGCTGCCATCATTCCTGCCTTGATGTTCTGTCCTGGAAGTCCAGGGATTGCCCTGGAAGAAAGCCATCTCCAAAGGAACTTGAAATGCTGAGAGTAGCAACAACAACAATAACAACAACAACAACAACAACAACAACACACACACACACACACACACACACACGAAATGCAGTCCAGGAATTATATACCGGTACACTGATAGGGCAGTAGATATTCTGAATGGACATGGAAGAGGGTATATTTCAGAAGAAAGGTAAATATCTGAAAAATAAAAATATGAGCAGTAAAGGAAAAAATTGAAAATCTTTTAACACAGCCATACAAGTACATCTTTGTGTTCTGTCTATGGAAATATGGGCACTGTTTGAAAAACAGTAGCAGTTAGAAATAGCTACTCTTGGTTATTTATATACTTATATTTTTGGAAAATATAATTGCTCTTTTAATTTTCCCTCCAGAAGATAGCTTTTCTTTGATCTTGAAGAACCCAGCTCATTGCATGGGCTCTGGTCGAGGGATTGGGGCAGCCCAAACAGGTCTGAATCAGGATGGAGTGTTCAGGCCCTGGCTTCATGAGATTGGCTCCCAACCCCTGTTCTGTGAATGGCACAACTCCATGTAATTATGTAACTTCACACACAGCTTGGGAAGCACAGAGACATGGTGCATGGTCCCTAAGACTTGCTCCTGTGGGAAGGGACTCTACTGTGTTTCCATGAGGAACTTCATGGCTTTGTCCTGGGACATGTGTCGGGCACTGATCCTGCACGGAAGAGGATGCAAATGGCTCCTGCCCTTTTCAATGCCACTGTTTTCTCCTCCTCCTCCACCTCCTTCTCTTCTTCTTCTTTCTTCCCTTCCCCTTCCTCCCCTTCCTTCTCCTCCTTTGCCTTCTTTTTCTTCCTCTTCCTTTCCTCCTCCTTCCTCCTTCTTTCTCTTCTCCTCCCCTCCTCCTCCTTTTTCTTATTCTCTCTCTTCTTTTCTTCCTCTTCCTCCCCTCCTCCTCCTTTCCCTTCTGCTTCTTCATCTCCTCCTCATTATCCTTCTCTTCTCTCCCTCCCTCCCTTCCTCCCTTCCTTTCTTTGTTCCTTCCTTTTTTCCTTCCTTTTTCCTTCTCCCTACTCCTCCTCCTTTATACTCCACAACTGCACTTTCTCCTTTTGTCTGCTTGGAAGTGATGAAGTAGGAAACAGTGAGGACCCCAGCACAGATAACTCTTTAACACAGAAATAGGAGCAAAAGCAACTTTTAGTGATGCCGGTGGCTCAGTAAGTGACTCCTGTCAGTGTTCAGAGCCCCAAATAGAAGTTTGTGCTTCCTTTTATACCTCTTTTTACATGTATGAAGCAATTCCATTGGAGTTTCTCTGGAAGTACAGCAAGCAGGATTCACACAAAGCAGAGCTGTGGAGAGGGGGAGAGCAAAGAGTTCTGGTAAGACTTTCTGATACTCCTTTGGTGACAGATTACAGAAGTTGTCATGGCTACTCAGGTACATTCTACAAAGAGCATAGTTGCCTAGTTAACCTGTGGTTGCCTAATAACACAGTTAACTCAAAATTACCTAATTTTACATGGGGGAGTGGTCTCCTCTCTCAGTGAAGGCCCTATTGTTTTTATTGAAAACAATATTTTTATGTTTGTTTTACTATGGCCTTATTTACTCTCAAATAAAAACTAACTGGAAAATAATAAGCCTTGAAACTAGAGATAAAAACATGAAAGGCAGATAAGGAGAGTATAAGCTGATTGGGGCTGACATTTTTGATCTCTAGTTTTCAAGGCTGATAATTTTCCAGTTAGGTCTTATTTTCAGGGAAACATGGTGCCAGTCTCATCATTTGGGCTTATCTACCCATAAAAGCTTTTCATTTTTATTCATAAGTACATTCTAAGATTTTAGTACATTTAGTGGTAAGATTATTTGACTAGCATTACTGTTAGCTATGTCTGAATCTTCCTAAAAATAATATCTACCATGTCTTTTTTGCATTTGAAAATTAAACTGCTAATGGTAAATACATTTTCCCCACAATGACTACAGTCATTGACCTTCTAGTTAGTATTTGAAGGTTCTTCTCTATCTTAGTAAAATAACATCTTTGTTCCAAACTAGTCACTTTAATTCTACTGCCACACTGTTTCTTATAAACCATACCATAATGCTGAGATTTTAAATTCCACTTTCTATGTCACTGGCTGGCCATCTGGGATAGTTTAGTAAAGCCATCACTGACAAGGAGAATGTAGAAAATAGCCCCATTTTTAAGTGTATATGTGTGAAGAAGAGAGTATTTTTTCAAGCCTCCTACTTAAATGGAAACTTGGCAAAAAGGAAAAGAAAGTAGCTATAATCTCACTGCCTGCAACAAGTGCTGATAGACTCATGTCTTACTGTTCAGACCCTCCTGCTGGAGGCTTAATCCATCAAAGCAGTTTTTATAGGGCAGTCGGATTCAATCTCAGTGTTTCTATTTAATGGTAGCATTCAAGCTCCTACTTCCTTCTATTAGCTGCCTGTGAAGTTCTCCTCTCTGAAACTGTCAGAAGGCACTGCATCCTCTCATTAGTCATCTGCCTCCTTCCTGTGTCAAGGTGATGGCCCTTGAGCAATATCCTTGCATTTCTCTTTGTATCTCTATAAATGTGCAGGAGTGTCCTATACTATAGGGACCTATGGTTTGTTTATGTCTAATCCTTGAGAAATTTAGAAAAAATTAGGAAATGAAGGAGGCAAATGGAAGAAAAGAGCAATAGGAAAGAACTGTGAACTTAAATTTCAATTATGGATTCACAGATGACATGAGACTATATTCATCATGAGGTAATGTGTTCTGATGGAGCAATGTGTCCATGGTGGCGTGATGCTTGCAGAGGAGCTAGGGGAAGAAGTGACAATAGCAAGACCTAGGGAGACCATATAATTAAGAGCGGGCCCAGGATTAAGCTCTGCAACACCTACATATGTAGAGTTTTAACCAAGATGGTAGAATTCACAAAGTATACTAAGAAAGAACAAACAGTATAGTATGTGTGTGGTGCTATGAAAGACAAGACAAGAAAGTATTTTACAACAGAAGAGCCAATCAGATTGTCTGAAAACATAGAAAGGTCAAGTATATAAGTATATAAAAGCAGAGCCACATCCCTTTGATTTGACTACAAGGAAGTAATCAGTGACCTTGAAAAGAGCAGTCAGTCCATGGAGGGGGAAATGTTTGACCGTAGGAAGCTAGGGAGAGGTGAAGAGTGAGGATGGCAACTACAGACTAATCTTTCAAAAAGTCTGTTTATTTATTTATTACTATGCAAGAAGAACCATGATAGTAAATGGGAAAAATGAGGTTGAAAGAGTTTGCTTCTTTTTTTTTTTGGTACAAGGGATTGAACTTGGGACCATGCGCTTGCGAGGCACGCAGCAGAACCACTGAGCTAAACCTCCAGGAGTTTGCTTCTTTAAAGATATGAGAGCCTTGAGCTGTTTGTATGCTGTCAAGGATGATGCAGAGTGGGAGAAGTGGATGAAGCTGGGAGAAAGTGCACAGTGGCAGGGAGAGGATGGGATGGTTCAGAGCACCAAGGAACATGGTTAGCATTTCAGAGGAGCATTACATCCTTTAGAGCAAATGTGAAGGCCAGGCCAATCAGCACAGGCACAGGAAACTAGTGGACAGGTTGCTGGGAGGATTGCTTGTACATCTGAATTAAGTGTCTGGGCCAGATTACAACCTAGGAAGAAGAGTAGATAAAAGTACTTCAGGTGTGGGCAAGAGTGCAGAGCAGTAAGGAGGATGATGCAGAGGAGGAGGAGGGAAGGTGAAATTTTATGATAGGAAAGAAGATATGAAACAGGCATTAAGAACACAAACTACACACGAAGGCGGTGTGGCAGTATGGCCAAGCACGTTGGGATTTCTGGGTAAAAGTGAGTGCTTCCTTCCATCAACGCACATGATCAGAGAACAACTGTACTTCATCCCTTTCTTTTGAGGTACACCCCTTAGGGTAAAACCAATCATTTAAGGAAAGCACAAGTGAGAATGTTATCACAGAATTTTGAAGTTCAAACACCATTCTTTCCTACCTCATTCTTTTCCAGAAGACAAGATGATTTACTACTGATTTCTTAAAACACATATTCTTGAATTCTTTCCACTAGATTGGTCATCCACACACAGAATCAATTTTCTCATATATATCACATGCATTCCACTTTGTACTATCTATATTTTTGTCATCACTGCTGAAAATATTTGCCTCATTTATTTACAATTTTGTTCCCCACATCTGCTTACTCCATCTCCCCTTTCTCTTCTATTTGAGAACCTACTAGTCCAGACCTTCCTATTCTCACCCCTAACTGAAAATATCTCCAAAGATATAAAAGACAGGCATTCTTTTTTTTGCACTATCATACTTCATACCACAGTGCACGAAGATTGCTGAAGTGAGCAAGTCTTACTTTTGCTCCAGTAAGTCAGAGTTCGTAGGAAAGTTGGATCAAAACATCCCAATTGTGATTAATTCATCTGTATTCAGAGAATGTTTGATGGAAAAATAAAGCTGTATCCAATGAGTTAAATTAGCTGTTAATGGAATCAACACCACTTCCTTTAATGTTGCCTTTAGCAAGTGTAGTCATCGTAATGTTCTTTTTTTCCTTTCCATTCTTTCTTGGCTTAGTTGTGACTTCGGGTCAATGATTACCATCACTGCAGAAGCACTTGATGAGTACTTGAGAACCTGATGAGCTCTGACATTGTACTCAAAGGCTGAAAAGAAGATGTTGGTTTAAAATAGTTCCAACCTCTCCTCTTGGGAACTCTACAGAGGCCACTGCATATTTTAGAGGGACTAAATATACTCCTGAGAGAGGCAGGCTGTTTCCATCTTGTCTCTGGGGTTTTAAAGATGTCACTTTTTATTTTCTCCTGAAATTTATCTGAATTTTTCATCCTTAACTCAGTGCCTTGAGTTAAGTACTAGCAAATTTTCATTAAAAACCAACTACATCTTCTATTTCTCATTTTGAGCAGGCAGAAGTTTGATCTGAAATAAAAATCTCCTGATTTTTGCTTCAGGGTAAACTGTGTGCTGAACTTGAAATCAGTCTCTTTTTGGAAATTTCCTTTCTCAGAGATTTCTTAACTTTATCTTCCCTGAAGCTACTTTCAAATTCAGGCTCCCTTTCCTTTCTGTCTTTTGACCTAAAGAAGTCTTTGTGCTTCTCCTCCTGCAATTCACTGCTGCCAGGATAATCTTTTAAAGAAAGCTCTGATGGGCATTTCTTTTCAGGCAGATCTTGTGGCTCTCTTTTGGTTGGCGAACATGGTAGTCTTTTTAAATGGGCAGACTACACTAATGTTCTGCTTCGGACTGACCACCCTATTTTCTCATCTCTTGCACACATCCTGTGCTATCATCAAATTTACCCACTCTTTCCTAAACATCTTCTGTTTTCTCACCTTGAAACTTTAGCACATGTGATTGTTCAGAGGGACATTTATTCAGAGCCCCAGTTCCCCATCTCCATACACATCTTTGTCCTTTCAAACTTTCCTTGATTCCTTCCAGTTGGAAGTGACTTTTGACTTCTCTGAATTTGCACAGCACTTCAAAAATAGCTGTGTAAGGGGCTAGGGATTTAGCTCAGTGGCTCTGCAAGGTCCTGAGTTCTATCTCCCGTACCAAAAAAACCAAACAAACCGCTGTGTCATGTGTTATTTATTATAACTCCAGTGTTAAGAACTTTTCCAAAACTTTGGTGTTAAAATTTATGATGTGCTTGAGTATAGTACATTTTAACTAGCAGCTTCTAAAATGAATAAATAAAACTTATAGGAAAACTGTTTCATTTAGCAAATGCTTTTGAGGAACTACTATGTTCCAAGCACCATGTCAGATGCCAGGAATATAGTGGGGAAGAGAGTTAATGTCATCTTTGCCTTTAGGTGCATAGATCCTAATAAGCTATTTGTAAACAATTTTTTTTTTGGTACCCGGGATCAAACTCAGGACCTCACCCTTGTGAGGCAGGCATGGCACCACTGAGCTAGATCCCGGGTCCTAAATTTTTTTTTTTTTTTTTTTTTTTGGTGCTGGGTATCGAACTTGGGTCCTTGAGCTTGCGCAGCAGGCGGTGAAACCACTGAGCTAAATCCCCGGCCCCCTAAATATTTTTTATAAGTAAGGTTTTTGTAAAAAATAATGTGTGTGGGGGGGCAGTATTAGAAGGTGCTTGAGAAGACTAATGTCTATGTCTCTATTTCTATATCTCTATGTATAACACATAACTAATGGATGAAGGGAGAAAGTGTGTACTGTGAAAGAATGTTTTGGGAAGAAGAAACAAGAAGTTTAAGACCCGGTGGTAAAATGATGGTTTTTCTTTTCAAAACTGAGAG